TAGCACACCCCTATATTGCTCTGTAAACCTTGCTTGAGCTCAGAAGGAGGGCAGTAGGAGGCTCAAGGAATGAAGTCATCACCAGAGTGGAGGCCTGGTAACTAAGCTAAGAACAATGATGATGATGATGACGATGATGATAATGATGATAACGATAATGATGATGACATTGATAATGAGGATGACAGTAATAATAACTGGCATTTATATAGCTCTTTAAGGTTTGCAAAGTATGTTACATCTGTCATCTCATTTGAGCCTCACAATACCCCTGAAAATACTATAAAATTGCTGCTCCAATTCTAAAAAAAAAAAAAGAAAAGGAAAGAGAATGAAATCAGCAAGCTGTAGGCCACTAGGCTGTCTTGGATACCTGGCAAAATCTTATAACATATTATTAAAGAAATAGTTAGTGAATATCTAGAAAACAAATCATGCCAGACTGACCTTAATCTCTTTTTGACTATGTTACTCAAGTAGCAGAACAAGAGAATGCTGCAGAGTTTACCTAGATTTTATCAAGTATTTGAGAGAAGATCTCATGATCTTCTTGTAGAGAAGTTGGAGAGATGAGGACCAGAAAATAGTACAACAAGAATATATTCAGAAGTAGTTGAATACCAAAAAGTAGTCATTGATGATTTGATGCCAGCTTGGAAGCAGATGTCCAGTGGAATCTCAGATTCTGCATTTTGTCATGTGCTATCGAACATTTTTATCAATGACTTAGATAAAGGCACAGATAGCACTCTATTGTTTACCAGATAGATGTTACAAACTGGGAGGAATAAGCAGCATATTGGATGACAAAGGCAGAATTTCAAAGATTTCTGACGAGAGAGAACACGGGGCTAGATGTAGTAAGATAAATTTTAATAGGAATAAGTATGAAGTGTTACACATGGCTTTTTAAAGAATGTATAGTCAGAAGATTGAAAAAAGTCTGGATACTTAGATGGAGTGCAAGTTCAATATGAGTCAATAGTAAGATTCGAAGCCAAAAATGCTAAGCATAGTTTTTAAAGATATGGAGGTGATAGTCCCATTGTACTCTGCCCTGATCAAACAACATTTGGAGAATAGTGTTGTCTTTTGGGTACTTCATTTGGGGAAAGACATGAATAAGGTGGAGAATATCCAGTAGAGTGCTATCAGAAAGGAGAAGAGTTTCAATCCCATGCCACATGAGAACTGGCTAAAAGGCTAGGAGAAAAGAAGACCACAGAGAAAATTGAGAGTAGGGGCAATATAGATGTCTTCAGATAATTGAAGGGTTGCCATGAGAAAGAGAGATTAGATTTATTCTACTTGACCCCAGAGAACAGAACTCCATGGAAGTTGCAAAAAAAGCAAATTTAAACTTGATGTAAGATAAAACTTCCTAGCAATTAGAACTATCCCAAAGTGGAATGGCCTGTATCAGGAGGGAATGGGTTTCCCCTTTCTAGGGGTGTTCAAGCAGAAGTTAGATGACTGCTTTTAAGTTGTGATACGGTGGGGGTTCTTTTTTAGGTATCAGATAGACTGAATAAGATTGAGATCCTTTCTAACCCAATTCAAAAGTAACAGGAAACACTTCTCTGTGCCGTGATGTTGGCTTCCCAGACTACGATGGGTCACATGTCACTCATTCTTGCCTTCACACATTCCTCAGACTGCTCTTTTTCCTTCAATGCCCTCTCCCATCTTTTCTGCCTGTCACAAACCCACCATCCTGCAAAGCCAAGTTCAAGTCTCACTTGGAAGATTTCCTTGACTACATAAGCCTGACTGATCTCCCCTTCTCCCACACTACAAATTGTCTTTACTGTCCATGTTGGTGTTGGAAGTTTTATGTTGTCCATGTGTTTAAGTCTTGTCTTCCAGATAAAACCATGATTTCCTTGATCATAGGGGACCATTTTAAACTTCTGTATCCTTAGACAGCATTTACAATAATCTTGGACACACGGTAAGTGCTTATGGTGGAATTGAATTGGACTGGCTATCTCACATGACACAAGACATAATGTTGGGGCTTTTTCTTTCTAATGGCATTTAATCAAATTTCCGTCATCCAGAATGATCGTCGGTCCTACAAGATGCAACACTTGGGTAATCTACAAAGTGGGACTGAAGTCTTTGCCTTTGTTTCAATAGGTGGTATTCTCTAGGCATTGTACTGTGCTGTTGCCAAGGCAACAGAGTTCAAACAATCACAGGAATTGAAAAAACCCAGTGTTTTAGTCAAGGCCTGTCAAGGCCTCCCTTATACATGATAATGCACACACAGTCTTGGGAAGCTGATGCAAAGATCAGGACTAGAGTTAACTGGGAATTCTAAGCTTTCCTGTTCCTCCCTTCTGGTGCCTTCCCCCTGAAATTATCATCCATCTATTCAGTATATATCTTGCACGTACATAGTTATTTGCATATTGTCTATCCCATTAGAATATGAAATCCTCCAGAGCAGGGATGGTGCATATGCCTTTCTTTTGTAGCTTTGTAGCCTGGCATGTAGGTAAGCTTTTAATAAATGCTTATTGACTGACGGTTCATTGTGGTACAGGACTGCTTTAGACTAAAGGTGGGTAGCAAAGCTGCTGACACCTCTGTGTTCATCATGCTCAGTTTTTTTTCAAGACAAATTTTAGGGTTTGGGGGCAGGGAGAGAGAGGAACAGAAGAGTAGGAAGTTGTTTTAATAACCAAGAAACATTTTCTGCTTAGAAAGAATTTCTGCCACCCCCATCCCTCTCATTAGAGATTCTCTGGATAACAATTTCCTCTTTTAAAGTGCAAATATGCTGAGAGGGTTAAACTTACTAGTCATTCCCGCTGATTGCTTTAATAAGAATTTAATAACAGGTGATAGCCACACAGAGGAAATGAGTATTTTGATTGGGAATTGAATGGGGGAAAGGAAGAAAAGGCTAATTTTGAAATATGAGACAGTTTCAAGGGACAACAAGACCAGGGAAGGTTGGGAGGCGGGTGGTAGGGAGAGAAGGCAGAGTTTAGGCATTTGGGGAACCACATAAAGATCCTGGGTATTTGACGGGTTGAGAAAGAAGGATACCAAAACTTAAAACAGGAAGGGGGGAGAGAGAACGCTAAAAACAAACTTCTAATGGTTTGCCCATTATTTAGGGCCTTGATAGCATCTAAGGGCATCACTAAAAATCATCCTAGCTACCTAGGCACGCTTTAGACACCCGAAAAATTGTGACAGTGCTTTAATACCTAGAAAAGCAGTGAGAACACTAGAAAAAATTATGTAATAAAATATACATAGCAGCATGGACCAAATATTCTCTCTTACATGTAGAACATAGATAAGCAGAAAACATAACTAAATTAAAATTAAACTTGAATAAGGTCAGAAAGGCAGCACTCAGAAAGGAAAGAGTCCTGGACTTGGAGCCCAGAGACCTGGTGTCAAATCCTGCTTCTGAGACATACTAATTTTCTGATATGCAGAGACTCAGTTTTCTCAAATGTGAAATGGGTATAATAACACTTGCACCACACTCCTCAGAAGATTGTTATGGAAAAGATCCTTTGAAAACCATAAGGGACTATATATTATATTAAAACCTTTATTAACTTTTTCATATCCAAAGGTTTAAAAAACTGCTTCCAAAGCACAGAAACTATAGATTTTTAAAAAGGAATGCAGGTATTTTTAATTACATGTAAATAAACAATTAAATCACAACGATATTTTAAAAAGTTATACTTGTGCTACAAGTCAATGAGAACAACTTAAAAATTCAATATGGAAAGATGTGTGTCCTCTACTAGCACCACTGAGGATTTCTGATGCACCATTTTATGACTAAAGTTATTTGTACATGGAAGGGAAATTTCGTGCAAATCAAATTACTTCAGAATACGAGACTATACCCAAGGTAAAAAAAAAAAAATGGAAAAGCTGGTGAAAAGAAGTTGAATATGCAAGGTATATATTCAATATTCAATTCAATTCAATTCAGCAGGTAGAGATGGTAACAGAACATGTTAAGCCCAATCAATGTTCTAAGAAGCCCTGGGCTAGGTGCTGTGGATACAAAGGAAAAAGAAACACAGTTCCTGCCCTCAAAGAGCTTACAGTCTAAAGAGGGAGGAGCTATATGACACATACCAAAAAAGTAGGATAAAAAGAATAAGAGATAGAATACCGTAGGGAATTTTGAAGGGAGAGAAAATACTTCAGCTAAAAGGGATGGGATAATGGAAAAAGCAGGCATCTGAACCTTGTCTTGCTGGAAGAAAAGGATTTCAACAGTCAGAGATGAGGGAATATGTTCCAGCAATGGGGGAAGGCAGAGGAGAGACAGAATACCTAGTAGTCAAGGCTGGCTTGAACAGAGTACATGAAAGGCTCTGAGCTATGTGAAATAAGACTAATAATAGGTTAGAACTTATATGCTGTCACTTGTTATGTAAAGCACTTTCCCCCAAATTAAGACATCCAGTCATAAAATACAACTCTAAAATGCCTAAAGGTCTCACTTTTTTAAAAAGGACTTAAAACTTAGGAGAGAAAAACACAGCAGTTTAAAAGACAGGACAATTCAAATAAAATTAATTTGTAGAAATAGTTTCTAGTCCAAAGGGTAACTGTTAATCATTCTCATTGATTTCAATCCCTTAGCAAATTTAAATTGGGAGTAGCTGTAATGTGTTGTCCATCTGAGAGCTAAAAGCCCTATGTAGGTAATTTCTTGTTCATCCTCCCACATGGCCCTCTGAAAGAGCTGAGAGGAGACTATTATTTTACAAACTGAAAAACAAAAATTCAGATCCATCCAAGCACAGGAATCGACGGGAGTTGGGGACAGAGCCAGGAAGACTGATCTGGACTTAGAAATAACTACAAATTTACAAACATTTTCACTAATTTATAAGGAAGGGAAGATTCTTTGAGTTGGCTGCAGGGATTTGGTTTAGTTTGAGAAGGCTATGGATGTGTTTTAAATATCCAAGGTTTTCATCAGAAATTTCAATGTCTGTAAATTTCTACTCGCAGAAGAAGTCGATGTCCTGAAAAAGAAATAGTAAAACTTTAACTCAGCTAAAAAATAAAATAAAATGAAAAATAAGCTCTTTATGAGTTTGTTAGACCAAAAGGAATCATGTCAGGATTTGATCCCTGGTCCCCTGATTCCAAATCTAAAGCATCACAGATCCCTCTCACATTCAATAATAAAAGTCTTCAAACAAATTTTAAGCTCTCTAATAAGGATTAGGTGATGTAGTGGGCCAGAAGTCAAGAAGACCTGAGTTCAAATCTAACCTCACGCACTTCCTAGCTATGTGTCTTTAGGCAAGTCACTTAACCTCTGTTTGTCTCAGATTTCCTCACCTGTAAAAAGAGCACCTACCTCCCAGGGTTGTTGTGAGGATCTAATGAAATAATGTTCATACAGCAGTTAGCATGGTTCTTGCACATAGTAAGCACTTAATAAATGCTTGTTTCCTTCCTTCTTATCTATTTCACAGATCTAAGATACCAAAAGTAAACAACAGGTGAGAGGCAATCTTGGAATTATTAGAAAATAGTCTTAAGTTACTCTGCCCAGCAAGCAGTAGGCTTCCTCCTGGGAAGCCCATTTCCAGTGTCTGCCAGCAGAATGACTTTCCCTGTGTCCAAACAACAACCTTGCTGAGTTAATGAAAAAGATTTTTTATTCCTACCACTGGGTTATTGGGCTCTGGGACCCTGGAAGGGATACAGCTGTAATTTCATACATAAAGCAGAGTCTGTCTGACTCAAAATAAGGCATTCATGGATGGTTTCAAAATACTTTAATTTTCTCAAATACAGTATGTGGGTTAATCACTTCTTCTTCTTTCACTATCCACATAAATAAACAAATCCTCCTACTGGACCTGTTTCAGAACACGTGGTTTATGTAATGCTATTTATGGCTTTTTCATGGAATCAGCAAGCTATCCTTTTTTGTCTAGACCTGTGATTTTATTAGTGTAGGAAATTCTAGGTATGGAAACTCTCCACAGAAGCAGATTGGCAACCTGTCTACATCTTCATAAGACCTTGGAGTTCATTTGGTACAACTCCCTCATTTTACAGATAAGGAAACAGATAAGGAAACTGAGGCCCAGAGAAATGCCATGAATTACCCTGGGAGACAGAGTTAAAAAATGGCAGAGCTAGGAACTGGCTTCAATCTGACTCAAAATCTTCCTGACTCCAGGTCCAGCACCCTAAACACTATACCAAGCTCTCTTTTGCATCGATGAAATCACAGGTCCAGACCAGTACGTGTACATATGTACATGTTCAAAGATACACACATGTCTATATATACATGTATGTGTGCATACCTGTATATACATGTACATATGTATATATGGTAAAGTATATACATTTTTGACCAAACAATATTAATTAAGAAGAGATAATAATATGATCAAAGGCTACCTGTGCCATTACTGTGACCATATTTTCATAGGATTACAAGTATTTTTGAGAGTTGCTTACCGTTGTAGGAATTTCTTTGGTTGCCTCTTGGTAGACATGTTGCTCTTTGACCAAATTGCTGGGAAAATATCCTACAATTCCCATTTCTTCCTCATAATGCTCACCATATACCTGAATATTAAGGACAGTGACTATTAGACATACTGGTTCTATTTGTATGCACTTTTCAATCAGTTCATTCCCTTATAAGTAGATGCAGTGTGAGCAAAGCTGAAGAGGGCAACTGGAGTTTATCTAGAGCGCTAAGGCTAATGATAGATTTCCCCAAAGTAGCATGCATGAATTTTAGCAGCATGTAGCCCTCTGTCTATAGAAGTCACACAATTAGAATGATTAACAAGATCTGTTGGCTAAAACTACAGGACTTTTCCCTTTAACATTAATTAACTTGCCTTTTTTCCATTTAAAAGGCTCTTAGATCCTAGGTGCTTCAAAGGAAATCAACATTTTGGAATCTGATGCTAAAGTAGACTACAGCAATAGTATTTGGCTTGACAGAAAAGGACAATTGTCTCCAAAGGCTTGGTTCAAAATATTCATTTTCACTTTTGTCTGGATACAGCCTCTTTGGAGAACCTTCACAAAGATTTTCTACTGTTTTAAAAAATCTTCAACTAGTAGTGGGTGGAATGGCGTAGTGGGCAGCAAACCCATCACATCAAAGATGGTTAACCTGGAGAGGAGTATCCTTTGGGAGAACATGAGAGCTATCTTCAGATATTTGAAGGACTGCCCTCTGCAAGAGGGATTGGTCTTATGTTCTGCTCAAGAGCAAAACTAGAAGCAGTGGGTTCAAGTTGCAGGGAGACAAATTTAGGATTTTAGGGGGAACCTTTCTGACTATTAGAGTTACCCCAAAGTAAAATGGGCTGTCCTAAAAGACAGTCCCCCTTGCTGGAGGTATCCAAGAAAGAGGTTAGATGATCATTTATATGGTTATATGGCACAGGGATATTCTTCTTCCCTTCTAGGTCAAATTGAGAGTAATCGTGGAATCACAGAAAGCATGCTGCATTCGGGGTTGGGACGTCCTTGTATCAATTCCCATTCCGTTTCTTACTAGTTGTGTGATCCTGGCAAGGCACAACCTCTCTGAGCCTCAGCTTCCTCGCCTGTAAAATGGCTGTAGTAATACTGATGGTAACTATCTCACAAGGTTGTATGATTCACAGAGGAGATAATGGATGCAAAGTACCTTGCAAACTTTATATTGCTAGATGCTAGTTCTTATTATTGTGGTCTCTGGGATCTTTCAAACTGAATGAATCTGTGATCCAAAGTTGATTCTAAAGATATACTAGTATGGAAACCAAATACGATTAGGAAGTTGCCCCAGTGACCGGACCAATCCAGAGATTGCCTAGAAATTGCCTAGAAAACTTCCTCAACCTTTTTTGAAATAAAGTCAAAACCAAGAGGATTGTATTAATTTTCCATGTTGACAACTAATACTCATATAACAGTTTATTATTCTCTGACAAAATATCATTTAGACCCTGAGCTGGGAAAAGACATTTGTGTGAGCCAGAAAAGGTTTGAAAATTCACTTCCTAGGGATTACCATCCATCAGACTGAGAACATTCACTGTTAAAACATGCAACTTGATTTATCACAAAATAAATATCTACAAACTGGAGGGGGCATAGTTATCTAGCATTAAAAATGCATGCAGTATAAAAATTGTAAGAAGTGTAACTCATTACACCATTCTCTCAACATTCTGCCCTAGACAAATGTTACCTTATCCATTCTGTCCCTAGTTCTAGATAGATTTGAGTTTGGTTCTATATTTGTCTATGCTTTTTACATAAAATAGTAATGAATATACAAACCAAAAAATAGTTTTACATTCTGTGAAATCTTCTTTTTGATAGTACTCTACATTGACATTTACCCTATTACTAGTATAGTTTAAAATAACAATGAGTAGTTTTTAATTATTAGACAAATTCATCAAAAATAGACAAACAGTAACAACCTTACATATCCATGATTGTGTATAATAAAATCTCATCTTACACTTCCAGCCCAAAATTCTCCAGCTTCATTTTCCTTCACTAGTTTTGAATAAACATAGATCTGCTGCCCCTTTTTAATGTTAATGAACCTACAGTCAGGGGCATTATAATCGTCTTGAGCTTTAGCAAGGGAAATCGTATCTGGGGGAAAAAAAGACATGGATACATTTATTGCATAAATTACATTATAAGAAATACAAAGTAGTATTAAAATACTATTGAACTTAAGTTGACAAATATCATATATAGGTCAAAATTTGCATTACACATCCTACTTAAATCACAAATAACTAAAAGGGAAAAAAAAAAGCTTCACTTGGCAGAAAACTTAGCAAACTATGTTCCCTAAAAGAGAGAAACTATTTAAAAGATCAGAAAAAAATGCTAATCAAGCATACATTTGGACATTTTTCATTAGAAAATACAATTAGATTTTATGCAAATATATCCACATTCAATTATACAGTGCAATAATTTGAAAGGCACAAAATAATCCTTACAGACACACTCTTCATCAGCACAGAGCTTCTTGGTAGCAAGTTTGTCCATAAAAATTCCACGCACAGCACAAGTTGCTAGAAGACTCAAAAGAAAGAGAAAAAATATTCCCTTCGTGATCCTTTCCATTGTCATTGCTAGTTCCTCTCACCATCAAACATGGACCAGCTTCAATAGCTCCTTTCTTTTATGCAAAATCCCAACATCTGGATAAATAATCTCAACCAATGGGATGGGAGGCTAACATTCCACTACTTCCTCAGATTACACTACACTCTGTGGACTTATTTACAAAGTATAATCTCCTCTACCCTTTCTTTACATAGACATGGGGTTTTTTTTTAAGTTTTAAATGGTCACAGAAAAGTGTGTGAATTTTTTAAAACATGCATTAAAGTAGCAATTTTGCTCTAAATTCTTTGCAACTCAAGTTTGAAGACCTGCTACTTACATTTGAAATTAATTTATTGGAAATATACATCTGGATTTGTTTTTCTTAAAATAAAATTAGAGGACAATTATATATCACACAAAAATATTTAGACTTATTATTAGGTCATTTATATTGTGATTTAAAGTCATCAGAGCAGCTAGATGGTGCAGTAGATCTAAAGCACTGGGCTTGGAATCAGGAAGACTCATCTTCATTAGTTCAAATCTGGCCTCAGACACTTAGTAGCTATGTGACCCTAGGTAAGTCACTTAAACCCTGTTTGCCTCAGTTCCTCATCTGTAAAATGAGCTGGAGAAGCAAATGGCAAACCACTCCTGTAACTTTGCCAAGAAAACCCCCAAATGGGGTCACAAAGAGTTGGACATGACTGAAATGACTAAACAAATTGAGGTCATCAAGTCAAATCGATAAGCATTTATTAATCACCTACTATATGCCAGGCACTGTGCTAGCACTGAAGACACAAAGGCCAAAAGGAAGCTTGCTCTCAAGGAGCTCACAGTCTAATGGGCAAAACAAAATGTAAGCAACTATGGACATAGATATATACAGGATAAACTGGAAATAATCTCAGAGAAAGGCACTAGCATTAAGGGGGATCAGGAAAGGTTTACAACTCTGAAATAAGTAAAACTGAATTTCAAATTGGATGTCCTGGAGACCTCTCCAACTCAAAATGTCCAAAACTGAGCTCATCATCTTTGCTTTCAAACCATCTCTTCTTCCAAACTTCCCTGTTTTCGTCACCACCGTTCTTCACCAGGTTCATAATCTCAGTGTTATCCCCACATCAGCTGTCCAATCTTGTCATTTCTACCTTCACATCTCCCACATCTATCACCTATCATTGCTGACACAGCTCAGGCCCTTGTCATCTCTTTTCTAGATTATTGCAATAGTCCCCCAATTGGTGTCCCTGCTTCCAGTCTCTCATCCCTCCAATCCATCCTACACAATGCTGCCAAAATAATTTCCTTAAGTTCAAATCCAACCATGTGACTCCTCTACTCAGTCCTCCCCAGTCTCTTTCTTCCCGTTATCTTTAGAATCAAATGCAAACCCCTATATTTAGCTTTTAAATCCCTATAAGACCTGACCTATCTTTCCAGACTCATTGGACATTACTTCCCCTCCCACACTGTAATCCAAAAGGACTTTTCTTACTGTTTCTCCCACAGGACACTCCATAACCCATTTCCATGCCTTTGATCTTCCATGCATCCCAACCTTGTACCTCTCTCAAATTCCCTCTCTTTGAGGTACCTCAAAAACCACCTTCTACACTATACCTTTCCTCATTCCTCCCAACCACTAGTTCCTTCCCTCCCAAAATACCTTGTATGTATCTACTTTATATTTGTTTATATTTACTCATTTTACATTTATGCTATTTATGTCAATCAATTAAATACCTACTATGTATGTACTTCTCTCCTGTTAGAATGTAAGTAGGAATTCATTTTCTGTTCTTGTACTATGGGCACCTAGCACAAAGCTTGGTGTAAATAAAGTACGTGCTTAATATTTGTTGATTGATGTTTTTTTTTTTTTTACCAATTTTACAAAAGCAGAAACTGAGGTCCAG